CAGGAATGAGCCAAAATTCCTGCCAAGTATTGAGGAAAGCGTGTAGAAGGATATCCAAAACGTTTGACCCAAGTCATACGGTTTAAAGGCAATTCTACCGAATACTAATGAGATGTATGTAAACCTTTGGCTTTTAAGACAATAATAAAAACATTGTCTAAAATTCTCTCTCATTACTCTGGCATTTAGCAAATAGAAATAATTTTGGTAATCCAAAATCACCTAAAACAGAAAGTTTACTCTGATTTAATGTCAGACAGTGAGAAAAAAAAATGATTGTGTATCTTAAACTTCTGGTTTCAACTGTAATTAAGAAGTATGAAAAAGGGGAAATTAAGGACTGCACTAAAAGTAGTTCTACAGCACTCGTGCTATTGAAAAGCAACACACATCACACATGATTCAATATGAAAATTTATTTACAGATTAAAATGTTCTCTTCTCACAAAAAAAATGTTCAAGAGAATAGATCACTGTGAGAATTGATCCTTTTCAGCAGCTCCTCTGTGGACACCTGATCCTGATCCTTGCAGTTTTCTTTTCTCTTCTTATGATGCTTCTCCTTCTCCTTGTGCTTTTCTTTCTTCTCCTTTTTTTTCTGGAAATCAATTTTTTAAATTAGACATTTATCTTTTTTCTAATTAATCTTTTTTTTTTTTTTTTACCTTCTTATCCTTTTGGCTTTTATGGTACTTGTGCTTCTTCTGTTTGGTTTTCCTTCTTTTCTTCTTTTCTCTACTGAAAGAGCTGAGAGATGTGGACTGTCCTCCACCTAACCAGGAAAGGAGTAGGGTAAGTCATATATACATATATATACATATACATATATACACATATATATACATATATACATACACAGTATTAGTGTGTGTGATCACTAACAACACAGATTTGTGTACAACATCTGACAGAAATGGGCCTTTTACATACATGGAAAACATTTCAGATCAGCAAAAAAATAACCTAAATAAGTGTTGCATTTATATTTATGTTTAGTGTATATACACTGTCCATATATAGCTTGCAACATCTGCTNNNNGCTGAACCTTTATGATGAGTTGTATTCCAATGCACATCATTTTTATTTCCACAATAGTTCTTTTATTTTTTTTTCCATATTTGTTCGCCAAATGTTGAAAGTACATGGCTCAGGTGGCAGGTTCATGAGTACCATATTTTCCAGACAATAAGTTGCTCCGGAATATAAGTCACACAAGCCAAAATATGCATAATGAAGAAGAAAAAAAAAAGTATAAGCCGCTCCAGTGTATAAGTGGCAGTTCAACTTACGTATAAGCCGCACCAGTGTATAAGTGGCAGTTCAACTTACAGGAGTAGTAGATACTGGCACAGAAGCCTAGAGTGCCCTTTAGTGGCTTTCAGTGTGAACATAACAAACATGTGAAATTATATATTTTAATATATAAAAGTCGCACCTGAGTATAAGCTGCAAACACAGCCAAAGGATGAAAAAAAGTGTGACTTATAGTCCTGAAAATACCTATGGCAACCAATAAAATACTAGCTCTGATTACCATTACACATTACAAAAGTTACATCATTTTATACTCACCGACAGCACAAGGGGGCAGTCTTGGACCAAACTCTTCCTGCATTGATATCTGTGGTACACCTACAATTAAAATTTAAAGATGGGAATTACAATTATATATATGCTATTGCATTTAATCAAAGAAAGATCAGCGTTGTCAACAAACTAGTAACAGAATACTGATAGTAACAGGAATGTTAAATGATCTGTGAGGTTACCTTGTTTTTCAGTGGAGCGGTAGTTGTCGTCAGATGCACTAAGAACCTCGGGGAAAGTGGATGGCAGAGGAGCGTTTGAAATGACAGGTGAAATCGTTGAAGAGATTTCCGTGTTCTTCATTATGTCCTGCACCTCATCCTCACTTTCTCCCTCTGATGATGTCTCCTCTGATGATTTCTCATCAGAAGAGACAAAAATGGCCTTAAAAATATCTAATGGAGGACGGCTACACTCTTCCACCTCCGTTTCCTCTTTTTCGCCATCATTCTTCATTTCCTGCTTGTACGAGACCATAAAAATGTTTTTATTTTCATTTATTTTTTTGTTCGTGTTTTATTGCGCTCTAATCAGTTGTGTTTATACCTGAATCTGATCACTGATGCCAACATCTGAGGTCGTACATGTAGGCGTGTCCTTGTTCATCTCATTGTTTTGGTCTGACACATCCCATCTAGACTTCTTCCTTGTATCTGTCGAGCGGAAGAGCAAAAGATAAAAAAGGAGACAGAAGAACTAGGTATGCCCGACATTAAGTTTTTGCCAATATCCGATTTGTTGATATTGTCCAAACACTTAATTTACGGTGATTTCAGGTAGAAAGTAACAAATTACATTTACTCAAACCACTGTAATTGAGTAGTTTCTGTGAGTAATTTGTAATTTTTAAGTAGTTTCGGAACCTTAATCTAAAGTAAAAGTCAACAATAAATGAAAAGTACTTCTTTTAGGGGGGGAAAAGAAAACCGTTTTGAATACCACATTTCTCTCAATTATTCTTCAAGCACTCTTTCACAACTGTCCCATCACTAAAATTAAGTTGCCTGAAAATCCACAATATGTTTAGTGAACAACTGTTGTTGTGCTGTAACTGCATGCGTGATAACTCGGGTACAACTGTCACACTGAGTTTAGCCGTTCTGTTATTTTGCATGTTCTCAGTTCAAACGAGTTGTGTTTTGTTATGAATGACGCTTCACGTTGTCACCATTACTTGATGCCTCGTTTTGGAGCATATGAGGCACATGTTTTAAAATTCTTACAGGAATAATGAACATACATATTTTTCCCATCCATTCATCCATCAACTTTCATCCGCTTATCCATTACCGGTCACAGGTCCGGACAGAACCATCACTTGGCCTGGATGGAGAGGGGGTCCGGCATTTAGTGATGTCTGGTTTAGACAGAGTGTGTGGGGGAGTACTGCCCCCCCCACTTGGCTTCAAGCTAGGCCGGTTGAGTAGCGTATTTTTCGGACCATAAGGCGCAACGCATTATAAGGTGCGATATCAATTGACGGGTCTATTTCCATACATAAGGCGCACCAGGTTATAAGGCACATTAACCCTTATATTATGTTGAAAAAATAAATAAAAAATTACATTGATTATGTTGCGGGTCATTTTGATCCGTACTGTATAAATCCACTCAAAACAGTCATAAAACAAGTTAAACCACTAACAACCTTATTTTAGATTATATAAGCATTTATAAAAGAGACATAATTCATTTTTAATTTCAACACTATATTTAAGAACTATTTTGTTCCCAGTTATATCTATTTACTTTACTTTAAACTAAACACCATCTTGCACGATCTGTGCATGGATACAAGACAAACGTCTTAATTGTGCAGGTAACTATCAGAATCTGAGAATTTATCAGTGTTGCCAGGGTCATGGAAAGCTTTCCCATGTAGTGGCTTATTGCGGTTCAAGGTAGGGGCACGAAAAGTGGCCATTCAGAAAAGGTGTTTAAAGAATCCAGCTGTGTTCAATCCCTCGTTTGTTTGTTTTGTTTTTTTTCACTCCAAGCACTGATAACATTTCATTTAGACATTAAGAACCATATTCATTTGTATAAGGATAGCCCACTAGGTCGCCTTTGAATACAAATATTTTCACTGTATTTTAAATACTTTCCTGTGCAATTGGAAAATAAGTTCCTTTAATCTGATTCAGCCTTCATCATTCAAAACACTTACCTGTCTTCTTCCTGTCTTCTGTCACCGTCAGGAAGTTGAAGACTGAAAACTTGTCCTTCTTCACCTTAGAGAGACCAACCACACCTGATCTAGAGATTGAATCACAGATAACAACAAAAGAAAACTTATTTCAATTTTTGCAGATTTTCCTTATGTCACGTTGTGTTGAAGCGCTTCCCTAAATAACTTAATCCAGGCATGTTTAGATAATGAAGGGTGCCTATTAAGCTGCTTCAAAGCTTCAAGTGTTTCATTCGTTTTTCATTTAGGTTTGGTTAAAAGTTTTGTTGGTTGGTTTTGGGAGAAAAAAAACCAACTGCAGTAAAAAACTGCTGTAAACAAAGCTAGCAGCGATGTCTTTTAGTTTATTTTTTGCTATATTTTTACTTTACTACAATTTTTTTTTTATCACGAAAATAATGAAAATATTGGAAATTAAAAAAGAGTATTTACCGTAAAATACAGTGATATAGCGAAACTTCCGCGGAACGGATTAAAACAAAAATCTGCGATGTACTGAAGGAGCGAAAGGAGAACTGTGATATAGAGGAAACACTATATATTAAATATTATCAATGTAGGTAGATCACTTTGGTCTAGAAATTTGAAAAGTCAACAAAAAGTGTGGACACCTGTGGTTTAAGTGTAAGGCACTTCAAGTCATCAACTGGAATACACAATTACAATTGCCTAATTGTCATAAGTAAAGTTTTTGTTAAATGATACTCGTGTTATGGGTTCTGGGTGTAGGAGTAAATATGTGATGTGGTTAGGTCATACCCAGGGTATGGGTCTGGGACATTAAACCTCTTGCAGAGCAGTTTGTCAGGGTACCACTCAAATGTTTCCCTGGTCATCTTTCCAAACATCTTCATTTGAACAGCAGCTTGTTGGTCATCCAAGTCACACTGACAAAGACAAAAAACAATCACTATTATCAACTTTTAAGGTGCCACTCGCTAAGGGAAGTGGATTTGACAATTCAGGATGCTACCTTTTTATCCAGCCCAGCTACGACAACATTATCATCATCCTTGTGCTTCGCTTTGGTGAAACGGGATGAGAGTACGGAGGACATGGGTCGGTACGAGGTGGAAGTCGGGACAATCTTTTTCCCAGCTCCACTATGCTCGCTCTCCATAAGATCCAGCTTGAAGGAGTCCAGGGAGTTTACATGGGTCTGCATGCTCAGAAGATGTTGGCGGTCATCAGGGTTTAGCAACTCCATCACTGAATTAGAATCTGAAAATATTTACTGTATTTACTGTTTGACTATTAAAGGAATTCCAGATATTGATTTACCTAATTTAGGTCAACAAAGTTAATAAATATTCGGTATTTTTATATTTACAATTAAAGTGAACATAATAAGTTTGGCAATTATACAATGTATGTTTACATAGTGTAACCAACACTCAAAAAAAGACATACACTTCATCTGAAAAAAAGACTTGCATGTTAGGAAATAATAAGGTAAGTATGGATTATAGAGACAATGATTTAACACCATCTTACTAGGCAGGATGTCCTCTCCCAAAAGTGCTCTTCTTTGACTAATGTCCATTTGATGCCGGCCTGCTTGCTGTGGCTTCTCTTGAACCATGTGACCCCTGGAGGACGTTAGCGCATGAGCCAGAGCAGAACTCACTGAAGTGCTGGCCAGGGCTGATGGGCAAAAACCATGGTATGGTCTGAATCCCGGGGGCAAGACGGGGGGCAAAAAGATCTATAAAAAAAAAGTTTTGTCTTTTTAATCAATAAAAGCCTATTTAGTACGATTCCTAAACAAATTCAAGATTGGATGTTGTTTTCTAACCGTTAAAGAGGAAAAAAAAAAGTTAGGAGGATCACATTTTTCATTTATATTCATGTATTTTTTTTTACGTAAAAATTAAATCTGGAACAACCAAAGCTTAAAATTATAAACACATGAGTGGTATTTGTGTCCTATATGTCTCTCTCTATCTCTAGCCTTTTGAGTTCATTTTTAATATAAATCTTTTTTTTACAGGCCAACAAAACTCCTGCCAGTATATAATGGCTTTATAATGATATTAATAATTTTCTGGGGGCAGGGGCAAACTTCATCCTTAACAAGATAAATTCTTCTATCTATTGTTGTGCACAAGTTTTCAGGAAACAGCTGGGAGGATATCTTGGAGAACATGCCACATACTGTATCTGTTGAAATTGGCTTTCTTAAATCCTTTGTCTAAGTCTTTTGGTGATATTTAAAACACACTCTGGACCAGTGCTCTGTGGGATCTCCTGCAGGTATGGGGCTGTATAGTCTAGTAAACATTTACAAAAAAACAGCTAAAACATTTGAATCTGTATTTCATAAGACTGCTAGATCAGTCAAAGTCCAGCCAGATTACATTACTAAAGATTTCACTGTTCTAACAGTAGTTCAATTCACATATTACACTAGCAACTGGCTCACGAGTGACTTTGCTCTTCAAAGCGAGATCTTAGAAACAACCAACCTTTTTTTCAGCTGCAGGTTTCTTAGCACAAGTGAATCCATCCATGATCTTCCCATTGTACGATACATCTGAAAAGAAAAAAGAAGTCATGTTTTCTTACATTTGAACTTGAATGACGTGTGTTTAAATTTCACTTATATTTGATTAACTTGAAATTAAGTTAGTCAGCTGCAAAAAAAAGATACATTGTACATTAAAGGATGACTGTGCTGCCTTTGTTTTCAGAAATAAAAGGTATATGTTTAAAATTATTGATATGAAATTATGATTATATTTTGTTCATATATACATATGTATATAAACCAGCCACTAGGGTACACAAGCCAGGGTATAGTGCCGGTCCCAAGCCCGGATAAATGGTGAGGGTTGCGTCAGGAAGGGCATCAGGTGTAAAAACTTTAGTCAAATCAAATGGCAAAAACCATTTCCATACCAGATCGGTCGAGGTTAACATAGACCACCAACAGTGCTGTTGACCTACAGCGTACTGGTGGTAATTGGACTACTGTTGGTCAAAGACAAAGAAGAAGAGGAGGGCGATTGATTCGGACAAAAAGAGATAAGAGGAAGGATAGAAGTGTTAGTCTGAAGTTTGGAACTCCGAGACCAGGCGGAAGGGCAGCAAGGCTAGAAACATTGGAGGAGGCTATAAACTGTCTGGAGGAGGTGAAACGAGAGTCAGACAGGTTGATGTGTGTGAAGGTAGAAACAGAAGAAGTGATGATGAATGTTGTCAGTGGTTATGCCCCACAGGTGGGCTATGAGCTGGAAGAAAAGGAG